TCCACGGTTTCTGAAGTTTTCTTAGTTTGGCGGACAATCAGTCATTTTCCGGGATCTTCCTGTTTCGAAATTGAGTAATTAAAATCTGAATCTTTAAACCTGGGTGAATCGTTCAGGTGGCTATTCTTCATATGTTGTGACACTGGATTTAGCTGAATCCGTTCATTTCACGAAGAAAGATTAAGCGCAGTGGGGAACCAATGCGCCTAGAGAGTTGGTGAGTCCTTAATTGGTCCGGAATTCAGGAATTGAATGACTTTCGCTGCGCAAATTTTTCTTCAATTTTCCAGGGAACTTTCGAAAAAGTTCGTTCATTCAACCCTTAAACATGCAAAGTCTGAGACATGGCTGCACACTTCATTCAACCCTTAAACATGCAAAGTCTGTGACATGGCTGCACAATAAGCCAGAAGCTGTCTGAATCCTGTTCAAATCCTGCAGACCAATCATCTGAGTATTTCATACGGAGGTCAACACAAGCCAAGGTCATTCAGTCAGCAAGCTTCATCTGGTTCAGACTGGCAGATGATTGGTGGAGGCAGTGCAAACAAACAACATCTGCCTGAGATAAATTAGCTAAGGACCAATCAAAAGTCAAACCAGTCGCAATCAGGCGAACTCGAACGGCCAACGCACGGACCAGAAGAGCGTCGAGGGAGATTCTTATTACATTATTACAAATGTAGCGATTTTGCTTAACAAAGTGAGCTTCCGGGAGCAAAATGAAGCTTTTTCTTGACCGAGTACCGGAGACAAAAGGCTCCGACTCCTGGTGACTCCTGATAAGATACAAAGAGACTGGACCTTACCGTGGTGTGACGGTTTGCGCACCTCAGTGATTCATTGAGCTATACTGGAGAGTGTCCCGTGACACTCACAGAATCTCTCATACCAGGTTGGTCAATGGTTACAGGTCTGACGAACACAGTCTCCTGACCCTCCAGGTTTGGGGTTGGAACATGTGACGACTTGTGTCCGTAGAAATGATAATGCATTTGCATTTCCCGCGAAACACCGCTACCTTGCGGTTAGGCTTTTAAGCCAAAGGCTTTGGTTGGGGACCATAATCGTCCTCCTGTTTAGGTGTGGGCGCCCTGACAGTATCTCAGCCCATACAACCATGAACTGCGCATACACAAATAAACTCCTGGTAAGACGGGTTGCTCCGACTCGAATCGATCCGTACATAGATGCGCAGGACAAATTCTTCAGGTTTCTGATCAAAGGCGCATTTTTTCATTGCATTACCCCTGCCAAACCGACTGTGTTGTGATGATTTCATTCGGCCACTTGTTTCCGATTTCGCCTCCTATTAATCCATTCTTGTTATGGTATAGCGTTCCTCTACTGGCCGCTAAGTGGTCGATTTCGAGAAATTCTTGGCCTGGGGTCTCCTAAAATATCATCAAAATTGCAAAGATTTCCGGGTTTCCGAGGCTCATGTCAAAGAAGGAGAGGTTGTTTCAGAGCTTCGAAAATCTGTCAGAACAAAGCGAGTTACAGTCATCTTCAGGCACGTAAAGCAATTAAACCCTTTTGAGTGAATCTGTTTAAAAACTGCGGTTTATCCGGGATATCTGTACATTCAAAAAGTGAATTCTTGTTATGGTAGCGCTCCTCATTCCTTTAGGCTGATTTTGGTACTTCAACATGACTCCCTTCAGAAAGAAATAATCTAACGTTCAGACCAGGAGAATAATTTGATTCCTGGTGTGACTCTAACAAAAAAAATCATTTTTTGCTAAAGACCATGGCTACTTTTAGATGTCTTGAGTGTTGCGCGTTCTAAATCAATAAATCAATGAATTCAAGGTGAAGAATGCAACCGCTGATCAAACTAGCAGGTTCAAATCTCTGTTGTTCAATTCCTACGTGTCATCTGAAAGACTTACAAAACAATCAGGTTTAACCATAACCTATATGCGGAATGCTATCTAGATGAATAAAGGTATTTTAGTAATGCATTTGCCCCTAATTATTGACCCCAACAATGATGATGATGAATACGATAAGACTAGAAAAGAAGTCGTCGACAGGTAGGCACAGCCTCCGAGTTTCCGTCAACCTTAAGTTCTACTTGAACCCAAGTTGGATTGTTTTCGAGAAAGACACTCATATGCAAATCAATTTGGTTTTCACGAGAGACTCGCTTGTGATATTCTACAACTGAATGTGCTGCACACAGCCCGCCTCATGTTTCAGTTGGCACGATATTCGAGAAATCGCAGTATATCTTCATAAAGGAAACTACTCATAAGGTTGCTGGTTTGCAAGTGAGTGTATTTCTCCAAAAAACAGTTCAGTTTGGGTTCATAAGGTTGACGGAAACTCGGAGACTGCGCCTAGTTGATAAGCCCCAAGAAGTGCGAAACCTGTCGTGGGCTGTCGAAGAGTTTTCAGCAACCTTGTGAGTAGTTTCCTTTATGAAAATATACTCCGATATCTCGCATATCGTGCCAAATGAAACATGAGGCGGCCTGTGTGCAGCACATTAAGCTGTAGACTATCATAAACGAGAGATTCAATTGGGTCTCTCGTGAAAACCAAATTGATTTGCAACTGGATGTGTTTCTCAAAGTCGTCAACAGTTTTAATTCTATATGAATCAGACCGAACAATCTTGGACACTAGTCATCTGTCAAAAGAAACAGTCCTTGCGTTTTTATCTAATCCTTCGTTGATATATTGAAGAGTGCCAGATATGTTGCAATCAGGTGTTTTTTTTCAGATATCGAGTTGGTTCGTTGATCAATCTCCATTGCTGTTCAGTTTGAAAAGCCGGATCCTAAAACAGGAAAAACTCCCTCCGGAAAAGTTCGCGAAAACAGTGCTCGCCAGAATTCCACTTCTTTTGTGGTAATGAAAAGAAAGCAGAATTTATCAGCGGTACTTAAAGAATAAACTAAAACGAGGAACGAGCACCGAGTCTGGGAACAGAAAGGTGGGATGGGGACTCGGTTAAAAAACTTACATATTTGAAAGGGCAAGAATACTTTGGTGTACTTTTGAACAGCATTCAAATATGACCAACATATTGACATAGGATGCAACTGGTGGCATCATCCCAAAATTGCTTGAAAACTCACTCAGCACAGCTCTCAGCGACGACCGGCTAGTCCACGGCCGTGTGTTCATTTGTGGGAGAGAATACATGTAGTACTCTCATGATCATGCGTAATCATTGACCAGTATTACTTCCGAAATTTGTGATCCTTCACCTAGCTAGCTCACAGCGTGTGCTTCTTGAGTTGGTCCATCGACTGACTGTTCAGTCGATGATAAGGTCGGTCTTCATTGGACAAGTCACCTGAGCAGATTACTTAGTCCTTTGGCGTCATAGGACAATTTTCGTATTAACTTGGATCGCGCTTCTTTGCAATGCAGACTTTAACATCCTGATTCCACTTAGGTGGGGTTGCAGTCCGCTGTGATAAATGCCGTAGCTGGATTCCAACCAGCAAAATACACTCATTAGCAAACAAATTCGGTTTTGCGAGCGACTCGCCTGGGACCCAGCTGAATCTCTCTTTTAGGACATTCAACGCAACGGTTTCCCCACAGTAATCCAGGCTCGAAGAAGCCAGACACTCGCCGATCTTCTCTGTTTACTGTGTTTTAACTCAAAGCACTTTCGGGATGGTGAACTGTGTTGCAACTGCACCATTTCTGCGTGAAAATGGACCCAGGCGTGTGAATGTTAGTCATAGATAGATATCCAGACGCTGAGTAACAGGTGGAAGGCTGCGTAACAAGAAAATCAGTTTGAAAAAGTCTGAATGCATCGACAGTTGAATTGAACATTACTTTGTGGAGACCTCGTTCTGTAAATGAAGTCGGTCGATGCTGAAAAACCGAGTGCTGTACAGCCGTTTTTCATCCTTATTGAGAATCATCAGCGGTACATAACTCAGGAAACTCCGGAGAGTCTCGAACCCGCGACCTCCTCGCTAGTAGTTTGTAGCCATTTGGCCACAAGTGGCTGATCAGTAGTGTGATTAACTCGTATTTAGACAGGATATAGTGCCGCTCACCCTTCAGTAAGTGGATCCACATCAAATGGTCACATGTGTTGACTAATTCCTCGAGCAGTTACTTCTTATCCTGTCTAAATGTGAGTCATTCACACTGCTGATCAGCCAAATAGTTAAGTGTTCAGCCTACAAGGCAGGAGGTCGCGGGTTCGAGACTCTCCGGGGTCTCGCGAGCTACGTACTGCTGATGATTCCCAATAGGGATGAAACAGCTGTACAGTACTTCTCGACTTCTCAGCATAGATTGGCTTCACTCACAGGACGAAATCTCCACAAAAATCCCAAATCTCCTCACACCACCAACAATGAGGATGTACTATGTGGACCTTGCCAAAGAAAGTACTGCAACAAGACTGCATGTGGAACTCTAAACCCTTCGTTTATGTGAAACTGTGCACCAAACGGCACAATTGAGTTTGGTAAGGCTTGCTATTTTGTTGTTTGTGACAGACGTGTCTACAACATCTGGACCTGTGACAACGTTAGGCGCCTGTATAAATTATGCGGTGCTGAACGAATTGACCATATTCCACCCCTGACGAAGCGGCATCTGACCTAGTGCGCTGTGATGAGAATACTTGTTCACTAGTCATGTAAAACGCACTGACCAACTCTCTGTTGGGCCAGATGATTGCGTAGAATTATTTTTGTATAGGTCATCTGGGAATCTACTTTTTTGTGAGGGTCAAGTGAACTTTAAGAGTGTTAAGCCCTCCTAATCGCACACAAATAGTTCAAGTTGTTGGTCTGTTAAATTCGTTACTGGCCTGGATGACTAGTCGAGGCCATACATATTAGATTGGGACATTGACAAAAGAACTTCGAAGCTTGTAGATGGCGGAAATGAAACTGTCAACAAGGACAGTAAATTAGGGCGCGATGAAAACAGTAATCGATATTGTAGTTTGAGCAGTGCTAAAGCTCATCCTCCCGAATCCTATCGGAGCTTCCACATGCCAATGGGGATAGAGCTGCTTCACAAACAACGCGAAAACTGTCCAACCGAATGAGTTGAAAGCTGGAGTGACTGTTCGAAATGAACAATGTGAGCGTGCTCCCTGTTCAGTTGTGAAAATTCAGGTACATCCAGCATCTACTGGTGGGGTAGTGGCAATACGCTCGCCTCGCATGTCAGCTGTCCGGAGTTCAACCCCCGGCACGGCCATTGGGTATGCACTGTCGATGAACTCTAATGAGAGCTCGAGTCCAGTGCTTCCCCCCTTTCAATGTGGACCTACCAGGATGACTGTTCGGACGAGAGTAGTGTGAGAGTGGATTCGACGAATCCACTACTCATCCGCAAAGATTTACAAGAGAAGCATGAACCTGGAAACCGCTACATGGTGAAAATCCACATGACAACATGGGTGGAACAGGTGCATGAGTGTAACGGTGGATACTACTGATGAAGCATGCGAGTAGTATGTGATTTTCTCACAACTCCGCATGGTGTCTATTGAAAAGTGAGATTTGTGAGGGAATTTGTGGAATTGCTTTGTAGTATTCGTTTATGTTTGAGTGATAGTCAATGAATATCCAGGAAAGCTCAAGAAGAAGATGGATACTCAGTTTTTATAAACAAGATGCATTTGAGCGTTTTGCTTCCCTGTCCAATACTCCAACACTTCAGTTGGTGTTTCCCAGCGAATGATCTCGCAGCAAAGGTCCTTCTTTCGTGAGTAAAACGGTCTGTACGTTAAGAATACATGTCATTCAGAGCGATGAGGTTAACGCAGGTTATCAGTGGAGGAATTACTTTTTGTCCGTGGTTAGGTATACCGTATAACACATCTTCGGCTCACAATCGGGCGAATTCCTCTGGTGCTGTCCTATCGATCGGCAATGCATAAATGAGCCAGTAACTTCCAGGTATCAATGAGTTTGATAGCATTCCTTTGCACATTGTAGTGAGTTGAGCTGCAGCATAACTCGAAATATCATAAGTGGTCAGACTGAAACATCCAAGGAAGAGACTGGTTAACCAACCTATATCGGGACACTGAACATGTGTGCTCAATGTTGGTTTCCTAACCTCCCTTGAGTTCCCGGGATGTAAATAGTGCGAACCTTTCGGACTAAATCAAAAACTGTATCAATACATTTGAACTGTTCTTCATTCTCGTGAGACTACCACATTGGTTTCTGAGAGGAATTAGCCAATGTGTACCGGATTACCCGTGATTGGATGCATGCGCACGGAATAACATAACTGCTCGATCGCAGCAGTAAATCCGCTCAATGAGAGATTTCTAAATGAACCATTTTGTTCTACTCTCACGAACTTGACGATTGCATTGAACTGAACCATAGAGGTTCAGTTCCATTGATGAACTCGTAATGAGAAAAGGATGTTCTTGCCTCTCATGGGTAAAATGAATATTGCTCCGTTCAGTCTAAAAGACCCTTTTAAAGCCGCTACAGATAACCAATGAAAGGTCTATAATGGCATTGGAAAACAATGAATTAAGACAGCTTTGCACTCTTTGTTACCTGAACGTAAGCGCCTAGACCATGTGCGTCTCAGGTCGTCACCTGAGCGAGGTAGAACAATTTCAACACCATTTTGACTTCTATAGTGTATGAAAAAAACACAAGTCACATTGTTCTGCTAAGTGATTAGTGACTGGATGGCACGAGGAGACCAGAGTTGTCATTAAAGTACGCTTAAAGCAGAACGTTCCTTAAAAGTGAACAAGGCAAGGTCTTTTTTCAGTGTGACAACAGACTTCTTCCACTAGTCGTTTTGGGGTGTTTAAACGCACTGCCGCAAGCAATTATCCCAATGCAACGTTTACGCCGAGGAAGTCATGATTGACCAGAGAGGATTTTGACAGCAGTTCGGTTCAGTCATGCTACTTTGCTAACTGGGAAGTCCAGAACAGGAACACGGCCGTTCAAACGAGAGTGGTGTGGCCATGAACAAACACAGCTATCCCCCAAAACCCCAAAATCGCAACTTTGCATTTTCTAGAAAGTGCATATGCACATTTGATAGATACAGACCAAAATATCCTGTCTCTGAAGGCCACTCCGTATACGCGAATGTTGAAAAAAAATCCAGCGACTGCTCATGAAAACGTGCTTGACCAAAATTCAGCAGCAGTTGATAACTTGCTTTCTGTGGCGCTTCTGGAGTTGGTGTACAGTATGTGGCAAGTCGAACTTGATTACTGTGATGAATAAATCGTCGGAGACTATCCAGATGTCCACAACCAGTTTCGCCAAAGTTGGAACCCCAACGGCATTTCACTGACACATGCGTCAACCAGGTGAAGGTCCCTTTACCTACGGTTGGATTACACCTGACCACTGGGATCTGCCATATTTGGCGCGTTGGAGAACTTGGATGTAACTCTACTTCCCGGAAAGACAATGCGCGCACCTTTTGTGAATACACTGACGGGTTAGGAAGACGGTGGATCGTTGGCCGGTCAGCTGTCCAATAGTCTTCGATCTGCTACGCACAACTACGCTCCCCAATAACGCACTGATGATGTCACCTCGATTGGTGATGAAACCTTTGCAATCAAATTGCCCAGCTCAGCGAACAAGCCAACGACCAGTCTTCGATATGTTTGGTGGGATGCAATACACAATTTTATTAGCCACGTCTTTGTTCACTGTATGACCACTTTCAGCCAGTTTATTGGCGATGCAACGTACACTCCCCGTTGTAATATGGGCACACGAATGTCCACCGATCTGGTCCTCGTACGACCCACACAGTCGGCAGACTACCAACAAACGTACGTAAAAAACACCATAGACGAGCTATGGACTAATGCCTTTTCCTTAAGTTCTAGACAAATCGTACGGAGACTATGAAATAGGACATTGGCGTTCGCAGCACAAAAGGTCTCGGCAAGACTAACTCTGCCATAAATTCATAAGAACCATCTTCTCTTAACGGTGAACACAAAAACAACTCGGAGCTTGAAAAACGCGTTTATCGATGAGATTATCATGTAGCAATACACCTGTAAGGTATTGGTTGTTTTCGTGAGTCCACTCTCCAGCGCGTCCGGACTACAAATTCTATGGGCTGGATGAAGAAGGGTTCTCTTTCTCACGGAACAGAAACCGTCTGAGGTTTTGACGGATTCTCAGCTGCAGCGTGCTATCGCTCGGTAAGATCCTGATCAACAAATTGGAAGGCCTTCTCTTCTTCCCGGTTTGACGGGAAGGCGGTGACTGAATGGGCGCAAGTGAACGCACTTTGGATGACGGCCATTTAGATAGTTACTGTTGATCATAATCTAGCGGAATGATGTGAAGTGGAGGGCAATCCATGGTGCCCTCAAACGGTTCAAACATAACCGGACAGCTGGTACTACGATCTGCCGACTGAACCAGTCTCTGCGCTCACAAAAGTTACTGACTACCATAGCCAACTACCAGGGTAACCCAACTACTCATACAACTGTTTCACTAGACAGCGCTTCATCCAGTACCGCGCGTTTCTCTTTTATTTAACCATTTGTCGGCTTGGCATGTGTTCTACCTTACCAGTGGGTATATTTGAGACAGGCAGTACGTCTGCAAATATCATGTACTTCCTAAAGAGCCACTTGGCTACCACAGAGAACTGTGGGGTCGTTTGATCCACTCGAATAAAGAATTCTCCCCAGAAAAGTACAGTTAGACTGAGGTAACCTTAATTTTTAATTTAATTAATGAATGTAGCGATGTCTACACATGGTATCAAAAGCTTGAGCCAATAAACTGTTTAGGCAAATAATCATCTCTGAGATTCTACACGATTCACTGAGAAACGTCTGTAGTGTTAGGCGATGCACATGCATGTGGGCGGAACATTGTTGTGAATTGGCAAACCGCCTTCTTGTTGTGTGACACCTCCATCAAGGTGGAATTTCTATCCTACCTAACCCTCGTGCTCACCTTTTCAACACGTCTATTGTACAAACCAAGGCAGATTTAACATTTGCTACAGTCGGTTGTTCAAACCCAAGTCACTCTGCTGCGCAATCTAACCGCATTTTTTCGAATGGTAGTCAAAAACCAAACCATTGTAGGGTAAGGCAAAACCAACCCACGACTAATGTGCAGCCTAACCCTTGTTGTCCTCTTCACTCTGAGCAGTATTATGAATTGAACACAGTGTATTATACCATAAAATATTAAAACATGTTTATTTAACGTTCGGTATGACCAGCCGGCTGGTGAACTTATATGTCCAACAAGGCTCTCAACACCAGAGATTAATTGTGAACTAGCGTTGTTTTTCACTTCCAAATGTATCATCCGCAAAAAAAGTAACATAGGCGCGGAAACTGCCATAAACTAGCAGCGAAAACTTGGATATAAAAAGGCAGGTCAAAATGCCCAAAGTATATCGTAGTAGGTCGGAACATTCTGCACAGGTAAAAGTTCACATAGAGAATGCCACAAGACACCTGCAACCCACAATCTTTTGGGTCCCATTGTGGTTCGGTCTCTGAATGATTGCATGAAACGCCTGATACCCCAGTTGATGGGTTACGTAGTAAAATAGCGATCGACACAACCAAGGACAGGTTGCGCACTAATCAAAGTGACCAACTAAGCGGTTTCAGTTGATTTGACAGTGTGTGGTTCGGAGCCGTGTAAAAAAGATGGAATAAACTGAAAGGGTGACTAACCGGTGGAAGAAAGGCGAATTAGATTAAAGTCGCCCTGCCATATCCCCTTGTGCGTAGTTAAAGATTTGAACATACCGTTTTTGTTACGTATACTGAGCGAATAATGATAGAAATTCCCCACACAAGAGAATGGACTTCAATGGTTCCCTTAGGGAAGACTTTGCCTATGAGACAACGCTCGACTAAACATCAATCTGAGCAACTACACACATTTGCACATAAATTTGATTTTCTATGGAGACCCATCTGAAATCCGGCTGAGTCTATCGCTTACGATATTCTTCACTTGAATGTCCCGCCTCAAGTTCAATTCGATTTATCGCAATACATTGCACAAAAGTGACACACTGCGCATTAATTTTGGGAATTCAGTTTACGCACCTGAAATACTCAGACATGAACAAACTGTCACACTGTGATTATTCTATCAACCACGGTCCGTCACTACCGATGGGCGAACAGGATACCCATGTGTGACCTAGTTTTACAAGGTTGAGTCAGTCCAGTTCCGGTCGACACGGAGTTTCAAGTAGAACCAAACCACGTCTTGACAATAGCCCGGCCAAGAACAAAAACGGTATGATAACAAACGCCGAACGATTTTTACTCATTTAGGTGCCAGCACAAAGTGAATAGTTGGAACTTTCAGCATACTGCGTCCTTCGTCCATCCAACTAACCGCAACTGAGTAGCAGATAACAGGTGACTTTCAGTGCTGATATGAGGATCGCAACAACGGGAAAGTCTCTGGTGTGCTGTCCTGGGTGAAGCCACCAGTTCAAAATGGGGGTGATTGGTAGGGGGCTGAAAAGTAGGAAAAAACTGTGGTCTTGGAATGCACACTCAGAGGGGTGAGTCTATGTGAACCCATTAAAACAAGTTCTACAAAGTTCAGGAATCACCGATTGACGGACTAAGCAAGCTTGATAAACTACCAGAGAGTGCTTCTGACCAACATTAGTGTTATATCTGCTGATTTGCCCGCCTGTGGTATCTGCTGCTGACCCGCTCCAGTCCCTAGTGTCGGAGAGAAAAAGGCTCACGGAAGGAAACACGATAGCTATATTCCAACAAAGTGGTTGCGAGAGCGCGAGTGCGAAAAGTACAACGGTCTCAAACTTTTTATTGGAAGGACGCTGTCTGAACTTGGTCCAATGCAGACGCACGCGGTCTGGCTTTAGTACGAGGCAGCGACGTGTTGCATATTGCGGGGGCGTTGTCTGACCTTAATCAGTGTTGACTCGCGCTGTCTGGGTTTGATGCAAGGCCGTGACGCGCTGCATATTGAGGGGGTGTTGTCTGTCTGGTCAACACCTAGCGGAGCTGAGAGTCTCCGTAGATTCCGGGCATTCGGTGGTTGCTTTCAGGAAGCTGACCTTCCTGATAATTAGTGAATTCCTTTCACGGAGAATCCTTCTCACGAAAAGACAATTTGATTGGTCCTGGAAGTGTTCGCTCTCTAGGTATACCTCCGACACATGCTCCCAATTTTCGCCTACGATTCGGAGCTTCAGTAGGTAGTTTAGAGATCTTTGGGAAGCTACTTTGTATGTCTCATCATTTACTCGATACTGATGACTACAAGTTTCAGCACGGAATATTAGCTCAAGCAACCTAGGTTCGTTTCCAATAAAACTTGATGGCCACTAGAAACGCGCTGTGAAGGACGTGACTGGTGCGAGATTAGTACTGTACTACATATTAAGGGGATGGTGAACTATGATATGGGTAAGCAAACGGCCGGAACGACTCCGGCACTGTGTTTTATTTATCATTTGAGAACTGGCGACCCTACATACAATCACTCGGCTTCGTAAGTCATTCGGACATTACTAATAACCAAGTGATTAATCCTAGACATTGGTTTGTGCTGCATGATTCACTTGTCAGAGTACTAATTTATTTGGTTTTTTGTTGTTCGATACCGACTATTCTAAACGTGTCCATGCTGTCTGGAATGCATTTCAAATTCGTCATTTCGCCCCAAAGTGAAAAGCGAAAAGCAACTGACGATAGAACTGTGACGTTCATGACCCTATGTTGTGTTCTTGCTGAGTAAGTTTCTATTGGTTTGTTCAGTTCCTGCTCTGATCATTACAAGTCACGTTTTTTTTCAGACGCAACTGTATTTGCACCACACATTTGTTTCCGAAATCACAGACTCCAATCTTCAAGGACAAGCACTAAATATGACAAAGTTTGTCGCTCATCACTGTTTTCGCAATTTCTGAAACGTCCGTCTGATGCGTGCGAAACACAACTGTCTTTGTGACAATACTGGTGCATGACGCGCTGAGTCTCGCCTGTTTTATCAAAATAACAGCGACTATGCGGTCATTTTAGTCCGTGGAATACATTCCATTTCAACACTGTCCAAACCAAATGACTGAGGTCAAGGCTAATGCATAATTTCATCACTAAGCTGTCTGCAATTCACCTGAAATTTCATCAAAATCAATTATACCTTTTCGATGCAAGGTCCCGAAGGTCGATGGTTCGAACCCAACCTCAACCTCTCGACTGGTCATGTCTAGGCTTGGGCAGCTCCTATGCTTTCTTTGGGTGGAATGGCAGATAGGTTGTTAAGGCTGAATGAGTACTATATAATTGCCATCGTCCACTATGTATTGTTCACTGAAGCAATCGAGTCCCTCACAGAACAACACAGAATAGATCTCCCCACTTTAAATCCATGTTGAAAGTTGTGTTTGAAACTAGCCAACAGCCGGATTGTGTGACAAAAATGCTTGTTACAGGTTATTCATCCGTGTTCACCCAATACGGAGAGATACGGGCAACCTGTGTAGGCTTTTGCAGGATCATCATCACGCGTACATCATTGGGCTAAAAATGTAGAGCTGCAGGATACAGACCTACACAAAGTGTGTAACCAGAACTTGCAATATTAAATTCCCCGTGTTTTCGGGCACTAATGTGATGTCAACACGTCTCGGGTCACCGGGGGCACAGCCAAGTTAAAAAGCCTTATTGAACGATGAAGTGCATGATCGAATAACGTTGACAGACGCAGTTATGGTTTGCTATTGAGGAGAATACCGAATACTACTGATGGGGCGTGCGAGTAGTGCCTTCTCGTAAATCCACTTCACTTCTCTTGAAAAGTGAGACCTATTACGGAGTTTGTGGAGTCGCCCCATAGCATTTGTTTGCATTTGAGTAATGGTCAATGAATATCCGGAAAAGTTCAGGAAGACGCGTTCAACGAGAAGATGGATATTCAGTTTTGTAAGGAAGATGCATATGAGAGTTTTGCTCCCCTGTCCGATAGTCTGTGATTGTTCAGTTGGTGTTTTTCAGTGAACAACTCCGCAGCGAAGGCCTTCTTCCTTTCACTGGTAGCTCAGGTAGCGCAAATGGTCGTTGGTTTGTTCGCCGAGCTGGGCGCCTTGCTTGCAAACGCTTTATCACCAATTGAGGTGACGTCATCAGTGCGCCCCCTGGCAGCGCAGTGATGATATCACCTCGGTTGTTGATGAGACATTTGCAAGCAAGTTGCCCAGTTCAGTAAATGAAACCAGCAATCAAAGTTTCACAATCCAGTGTTCAATAAAAGGTTAACTGTGTCATGATAGAACAACGGCAGTTGCCGATGAAAAACTATATTCAAGCCGCACAACGTCCTTTGTGTTTGGACTGTGCAGTTGTTGATTGTAAGCGAACAAATTTTACTAGCTACCCGTCAGTAAATAGTGTGCCTCCAAAGATAGAAATTGGATCCAAATGAATTGTCTCCGGGTAGTGTCCACATTTGTTGTCATGTTTGGACGAAACGTATCACGTGACGCTATATATATATATATATATATATATATATATATATATGG